TGTATATATATATATATATATATATATATAATTTTTTCTGAACAGTGCCTGTAACATGGCTGATTAAAAAAAACATACAGTAGTCTACCAGGAAGTCATTTATCGCTACCACCTCAGAGAGAGATGTGTATTGGGCAGCTATGCGAGTGCCTGGGTGTGACAAAGCTAAATATTTTGGTGGCATGAAACTCGTTAGTTCATCAAAAAAAAATAAAAATAAATAAATAAATTAGCCGCAGCATTGTATAAACCGCAATGTTCAAAACGTGTTAAAAAGTAGCGGTTTATAGTCTGGAAATTACGGTACATTTTATTAAAAAAATTGTGACATTAGCCAACTATTGTATAAAAGGTTCAAGCAGCTAAAATTAGTTTTGTTAAAATAAAATATATGACAGATTACTCTTGTACACAGGTGATTTACTAAGAGGCCAATTTATTGCTTGAACCTTATTCAATTTTTTTTATATAATTACATGATTTTGCACATGCAAAATCAAATGGTAACCATACAGAGACACCTAACAAGTGAAAGTTTTTGATTTTCTTCTAGAAAAAAAACTGTAAAACATAAAATAAAGGCAGGGTGCTTTTCTTTTTGTTTCACTGAAGAGAAAACAGGCTCTGGCTGTACCTCCTTTCTGCCGACAGGTGTCTTGCAGAAGATGAAAGGACTGTAGCCTTTTCAACAAAGAGCAGATCCATTTCTTCTTCTCTCCTTTTTTTTCTTCTTCTCCACTCACACATAAATACACACACACATGCATTCACATTGCCTGGTTGGGTGGGGCTCTTTTTAAATCTGCTGTTATGGAAATAAAATGCTGGAGCTACTATTTACAGCACTGAAACATATTGTTTGTGCAGCTTTTGGTTACAGTCAGTAGCTCAACCTCATTCTGCTCCGAGCCTGCAGCAGACTGTGACCAGCTGGAGGAAACTATCCAAAAGGCACATGACAGCATCTCAGAGAGGAATACTAAATAGCATATGTACTGTGCACAGTAGTACACATTTTAGTGAAAAATATATATATCCAAACTTTCCATCCATCCATCCATCCATCCATCCATCCATCCATCCATCCATCCATCTATCCATCCATCCATCCTTCCATCCATCCATCCATCCATACATCCATCCATACATCTTACATCCATCCATCCATACATCCATCCATCCATACATCCATCATCTTTATCCACTTCTTCCTTTTCAGGTCGCAGCCTAAAAGACCCAAATCATTTAAATAAATATTTATTGGGCATTTCATTCCCAGAAAAGCTCTAGTTGAATGGTATTTTATTTATAAGTTTCCATCTTCTTGACCATTCGGTCAAACATCTGGTCAGTAAAGGTTTCAAGTTTCTAATTATATGTATGACAGCTTAATTAATCTAATTATATGTCCAGAAGTTACCATAGCTTTAACTTTATTGCAGAGCATTAAATGTTTTGGAAACAGCCAGTATTCAGTCAAATATTTTCTCGGTGTCACACACTTTTTTAGTTCACTTTGTGTTCTTTTCTTTAAAAAAATCTTTAGGTGTAGCTTCTGTAGCCACATTGATGGATGACACCAGTAATTCTGATCCAAGCAGAACCTGAACAGTATAAATGTGAAAAGGGATCAGTGTGGGCTCACCTTTGAGAGGTTTGGGAAGGAAGTGGGCTGCTGGTTTGTTCTTTTTGACGTGGTTTCCCTTCATGATTTCTCCCTCCTTGTTCAGACCGAGGTACCAGCCCCTGCCTGACTGCTGCCGGTAGTGCATGGAAGAGTACGTCACGTAGTAGTTCTCGAACACTGACTCCTTAAATTTGCAATCATTCGTGAAGTGTTCCTGTTCAGTGGCACAAACAGACAGTGTGAGGACAATGTTAGCTGGTAGTTCACAAGGCTTAAAAACACTGAATACTTGTTTTTAATGCAAACAGCAGAAATACAAATGCTCATTATGCCAGTGTTTGTTCCATTACATTTCAATGCACAAGCAATACACGCTCAGGCACTTAAAGAGTAAATGAACTAACTGCAGGTTATATTCTTTTTTCCCAGTCTCTGGATAATCGTCTAAATCTATTCATTGCTGTGAATAATGCAGCATTTTATGGCATAGATAAAAGTACAATGACATTAATGAGAACCATTAATAAAACACACACACACACACACCAAATGAGTTGTACATTTTAATTTGGTCCTAAGCATTAATTATAAATGAGCTATTCATTATCTGTCTGAGTTTTGTTGTTGAATCTATCTTGGACAAGATCCTCTATTAACAGCCATCAGACTTTTATGTTGTTTACTCTACTGTAGGAACAACCTTCTTAATTGAACAATAAGAGATAAAATACTTTTAGAAGTACTTTCTAATAAATTTATGTGCAATCCATTTGCACTCAATACAAGTACAGTCTTTTTTTTCTAATAATGTTCTGCATGTGGAAAGCCTCCGTAGAGATGTAGTTTTGCAGCTCAACTTTCCAACATTATGTCAAATACATTTACTGAAATGTTTGAAATCTACTTTTTATGGGATTTAATAATATATTTTACAAGTTTTGGTAAGATTTATGTCTCTTAAGGTAAAAGTTTGTATGCTGTAGCCATTGTTTGTATTTGGGGTGTGGCAATTTCCATGTCTGGCAGCAATGTTTAGTTTTTTTTAGGACACTTGGCAAATTAAAACGTACAAATGCAACTTTCACAATACTGCACAATTTGACACAGAAAGGTTAATTGTGGAAACTCTTTGTGAGAACACTGAACTCCACAAAAATAATTTATATACAGTAGTCCCTTGTTTATCACGGTGTTTTAGGGGACCACGCCTCCCGCGATAAGGGAAAAACCATGAAATAGGGATACAATAGTCCAAGTTCAAGTTATACTCCCATTCTTCTGTGCAAATAAACAATTTAAATACTGTAATATTTTAAATAAACAATCCATGCAGTATTTACATAGAGAAGAGAAGCGCAGCAGGCCAGCAAAGGGTTAACCCTTCATGCAGCTGATGCAGAACGGAGCGGAAATGTATTTCTTGATCAATTACACTGTAACAACTGAACATAGAAGTTCTAAAATAATTAAAAATAACTAACTTTTAACACTTTTATATTTTGTGATTATGACAATTTTACGATGTGACATACTTTGAATTATAAGTTCGAAGACAAAAGTCAGTCGGTGCAGCTGGACAGCTAAGGGTTAACCCTTCACAAAGCTGTTTCAGCATGGAGCAGAATGTGTGGGTGGCAGAGAGGAGATCATGACAGGCTACAGAAGGAGCTTCTCCCTGCACCTGTGGGCTGCACACAGGTGCAACAGGTGCCAAATCATTAAAAAATATATACATATTTTAAATAGATAATCCATGCCGCTCATGTGGCTCATCTGTCAATCAGCCAACTGTGTGTCATGTCCACTCTTACTTTGAAAAACCGCGAAACAGGGAGTCCGGGAAAGTTGAACCATGAAGTAGTGAAGGACTACTGTATAGAGCGGCCTATATTTTTCTGTAAAAAATAACTGAAATGTTGACAACTTTCTTCAAAAGTTTCAAACTTGTTTTAAATGTCAAACTTGAAATGACATAAATGAGTGTAATGCAATCCTTTAACTCTGTCAAACTTCATGGAAACATAATATCTAAAATCATGTCAGCCTCTCGTGACATCAGTTAGATGTTCATATAGTCCCTTTTTGTTTTTTTTACATGTTTATTTGTAGAACTTGTGTAAAAGTACAAAAACATGATGAGCTCCACTTTTTAAATGTCATTGATTCGTGGATTCAGATATTTTGTCACAACAGTTTGGATGTTTTCACCTCTCTCACTTTTAGAAAATGTTGCACTCTGAATAATAAAAAAAAAAAAAAAAACATAAACAAAGAAATGTACTGCTATAGCACCAAACTTTGAATTATTTTCTTTCATCAAACTGTGATATTGTTTGTCCTTCCCAACAAAACGAGAAAAGGTTTTGTCTTTGTGACTTTTTATTTTATTTTACATTCATGTGTAACTTTATTCTACTTTTAATGCATTCAAGAAAATACATATCCAATGTTTTACATGTTGATGGGTATTTTTTAAATCTATTTAAAGGGTCTTACATTAAATTCAATATGTCATTCATCGTAAGTTATAAACTCTTTGAATCTTTCAGAAATAAATTAAAAAAGTCATTTAAGTTGCTGATTACAATAACCTTGATTAGTAGCTGAACGCCATTAACTGGAGATATTGTGGAATAATTTTATTTTTTGCATGTATGTAAGACACCAGCTGCAATATTAAAAAGAAAAAAGAAAAATGCACGTAAAGTTATGTTAATTCAAACAAAGAAGTAAATTAAGAAAATGTATCAGTAAAGTAAAAAACAAAAAAAACAATGGAGTCATTAAATACTCTGGCATTACAAACACAGTTTGAAACTGTGCATGTGTAATAACCCCCTACTGAAAACAGCATTAAACTGTTATTTATAAAAGAAAAACAATCAGAGAGCAAAGGAAATAGGTGAAACAATTAAAGTCATAATTCATTCATAGTAAATTTCATTCTGTAGCTCATTGCTAACATTTTGACTCGTCATCAATCTCAAAACGTCAGTGATTTCTTCCGATCTTTCTCCTTAACTCCCCATGTTCAGGCTGTTTAACTACAGCTGCCTTGAAAGGTTTGGACCGCTTCCATCTCTGCTATGCACAAGCAGTAATTGGAAGCAAAACGACACGCTGCTCTCGAGCTTAGTTCTGTTGTACCTCTAATAACGAGCTTATGTGGATTTGGCTGATTACACTTGTTCTGATGAAGAATGAGAGTCTATTGACAAACAGACAGACACAGATGGATATACGCTACAGTTCGAGCCAAGACGGAGGAGACGCTGCTTGGCTGGTATTGTTGTAGTGGAGTGTGTCTGTAAAAATAAAATAGGATGGGGCCAAATGACACAAAATGGATGGAAATGGCAGGGGATCCCACATTTCTTTTCCACTCTTTTTTGATAGATTAAGACTGTGATGGTGGTTAGATTCATGCACATTTCTAGAAGTATTTTTGTCTGTCATTACAATCTTTTTATTCACTAAAACCCTTTGTGTATGATCATCTTTCTATCTCCAAGTTTCTCCAGTTCTTTTCTGAATTAAATAAAAAATTAACCTTTTTATGCTATATTGTCAAGAAATTAGGTAAAATGTTTATGTCCACTATTGAATGTTTAAGTTTGTTTTTAAATTGAATTACCGCAGCCAAAAAAAAAAAAAAAAAATGGATAGGAGACCAATGTGTTTGTTACTGTATAGATTTATTTAAACTATATAAAATGTCACAAAAGGCTCCTGTCTGTTTCTTGCTTGCATATCTTACCATGAAAAAAAGCTGGTAAAAATATCAACCATGTTCTTTGACCTGCTTTGTGGAAAGGGGCCTAAAGAAGAGCAGAAGGATGGAAAGCCAAAGGCTTTGAATGCCTCATTAAAATACAAGACCACATAAGTGCAGGATAATTTTGTCTGGGAGTCGTGCCAGTCCAAATACAGGGCATTACATTGCAGTATCCAGCGATGGATTGCTGAAAGAAATGGTTTTCTTCCCTATGCTTAAATCACATAAGATTAAATATTTTATTAACTAGGATCATTTTTAGAACTGTATTCCAATTTACCACACATTTTCAAATGCATACTTGATGTATAATGGATAGGAGTTTTTATTACTGGATTATTTTTTGCAATATTTACTTTTTTGTATCATTGATAAAATGCGGGCCCATTGCTTTGAGTGGTTCAGTCCCTATACAATGGTGCGAGAGTTTGGTTTGCATTGCCATTAGTAAGTTGGACTTCAGGGTGGGAGTTGGACTTCGCCAGAGCTGCCCGTTGACACCAATTCTGTTCATAACTTTTATAACAGAGATCATAACAGAGATTCTCGGTGCAGCCAGCGGGCAAAGGGTTTCCGGTTTGGTGGCCTCAGGATTCCATCTTTGTAGATGATGTGGTCCTGTTGGCATCATCGTGCTGTGATCTCCAGCTTTCACTGGAGCGGTTTGCAGCTGAGTGTGAAGCAGCTCTAACCCTAACTCTAAGGGAGAGTCCAGCTACCCTGCGGAGGAAACTAATTTCAACCGCCTGTATCCGCGATTTCATTCTTTCAGTCAGTACCCAGAGTTCGTGACCATAGATGAGGGTAGGAACATATACTGACCGGTAAACAGAGAGGTTTGCCTTATGGCTCAGCTCCCTCTTCACCACAATGGACCGGCACAGAGTCTGCAATACTGCAGATGCTGCACCAGTTTGTCTGTCAATCTCACGCTCCATTCTTCTCTCACTCGTGAACAAAACCCCGAGATACTTGAACTCCTCCACTTGAGGCAGAACCTCACCCTCGACCTGAAGAGAGCTGAGCAATCCACTCTTTTCTGATTGATGACCATGACCTCATATTTGGAGGATAGGGTGAAAAGTTCAATCATCTAGGAAAGACAGAGTAGAGCCGCTGCTCCTCGATATCGAACGGAGCCAGTTGAGGTGGTTCGGGCATCACGTAAGGATGCTTCCTGGGTGCCGCCCTAGGAAGGTGCTTCAGGCATGTGCAACTGGGAGGAGACCTCGGGGAAGACCCCGGGGAAGACCCAGGGCACGCTGGAGAGACTATGTCTCTCGGTTGGCCTGGGAACGCCTTGGGATCCTTCCAGAAGAACTGGAAGAGGTGGTTGTGGAAAGAGATGTCTGGGCCTCCCTGCTCAAGCTGCTGCCCCCTGACCCGACTTTGGAACAAGTGTAAGATATGGATGGATGGATGGATGGATGGATGGATGG